CAAAGAGAGTAGGTATAAGAACTTCTTAGAGGACGGTTAAGAATGTCCCTTAAAAGATCATATAATAGTTCTGAATCGAATCTCTTTAGAAAGAAGATCTTTTGTTTGTCTCATGGTAGCCTGCTCTAATTCCCTTACGAAACTTGCAAGGTGAGTTTGACTTGTTCTCTTCATAATCTCCTTTCTTCATAACACCCACCTTATCCTTGCCTCATGCCAGCGATCAATGCAAAGCATTTCGTGTCATCGAAGCATTATTCCACCCAAAGCGCCTTTACTCGGGATCTTGCTACGTAGCCTCGCAGAGATTTGCCTCCCTGCTATTTTAGCATTAGCAAGTGTGCAGTGAGTCGTCGACTATCTTGACTCTCAAAGAACCGGTCAACCAAAGCTTGGCCCAGGTCAAGGAATGAGGAGGATCTTCCTTGGGTTGAGTTGTCAGTACCATGCTTTGGCTGCTCTCGAGAGAGTCGTGAAGGCTTTGCACTTTAGAGCATTGTTGTATGCGTTAAGGTTCATCCAAGAGCAGTAAAGCTCCACATGGTCCATAGAGTTGGTGGTCCTGTCGTACTTCTTAATCGTGGGGATTTTGAACTTTAGAGGTAGTCTTCCGTGAGGAGCATGAGAGGATTCTCCATCTACCTACTTATTCGACAAGGAGGCGGTCCTTCTGCCTCTGCTCCTCCAGTGCCAGATGTTTTCGTAAAGTTCCTACCTTTATGCATGGAGGGCAGTTACCTCATGATTGGTTGGGCAACGAGCGACACAAACTCGTTGAGTCTCTCTTGTCACTCTAGTTGGTGGGGTGCATTGGTTGCGGGGCTCCTCCAAAGGAAGTTGTATCACAAGACCTTTGTCATCCCCGCCAAAAGCATTCACTCAACGTCTTTATTCAGTGCTCCGCTCATTGGTAGAATTGTCAAAGCATTCTTCTGTCATTTGTAATCGTAGGTATTGAATGTGCGAGCTTACTAACTTTAAACTCTTCCCAAAGATGGTTCCAATTGTTGATTTTGGGCAAGTGCCACGTACCCCTTCCTCTCTTAGCTCGAGTTTTACCTATGCATAGAAATCTAGCATTGGTATGGTGCTTTACCTATTGAACTATGATGCCTAAGTTAGTACTCAAGGTGAGATCAAACGACCCAATGTGAAGCATTTAACATAATCACAAGGATCCCAGTGAAAATTTGCGTAGGAGAGTGTGTAAAGAGTTCTTGTACGAATTTGTGCCAGAGTTTTTGCCTACCTTAATACAGGTTGAGGACCACCGACACTCTAATGATCATCTCTTGTGCAATACTGAGGCACGATGACGTCCAGGAAGATATCCTAGTTCGTGCCAGGATTTGCTGCAGGGTGTTAGCGCCTCTCTCGTTAGCTGTCGTACATACGGATCATTTATGTGCGTTCCACACTTTGATCCGATTAATAACTTTATGTTAATAAAATTTAACCGAGGATATAATGTATATTTAACCGACATATTATTATTATGATTTGACTTGGACCAAGTTGCTTGTAGGTGTTTGTTTAGCAAGATAATGTTGTTGCTGAAGTACAATGTATTACCATGTGATTTGTAAAAGATGGCCTATCAAGTTAAATGAATGTGCTTGAATAATTGAGCAATGAATGTACTTCTTGTTAAAGTAGAACGCATGGCCACGTGAATAATGATGTGTAACATTTCTTTGGTTTTTTTTTTTCGCTATTTTTTGTTTCTATTTTTTTCAGAAATATAAACGTTTGGTAATTATTTTGTTTTTAATTTTTAGAAAGAAGAGAAACTAGTTTCTTATTCTCATTATCATTTTTTTAGATACACAAATAAAGAATTTATTTTATCAATTTTTACTCATAAAAAGCACAATAAATATCAAGATTAGATATAACATAAAAACTTTAATATTTTATTCATGTAAATTTTTTTTAATTCTAAGTATTCGAGATAACAAGAAATAAGAAATGGTTACTAAACCTATTTATGTTTGTTTTTTTAATTATAAAAGGTAACGAAAAAAATCAAAAAATAATTGTCAAAGTGTAATTTTTTGTTTTTTCTTTTCTGGTGTAAGGAAAAAAAACCAGAAATAAGAAAAAAAAAAGGATATCAAACAAACAAGTTCATAGTTTCTTTTTATTTTTTTTCCACATTTCTAATTTTTTAAAATATAAATAAAAGCATTGTTTAAATATATCTAACTTATTAAATGCATAGTAAGTATTAAAAATCAAATTTAACATAACTTTTTCAATATTTTATTATTAAAAAATTACCAACTCATTGTCATGTCAGCATTCCGTTAGGGACACTAACGGAATTTTAACACCAATAACCTTTTAGAACTATTTTCTAAAAGTTAGGGGCCAAATTGTCACTTTTTGAAACTTAGCGACCAAATAGAAACCTAACCTCAAATTCAGGGATAAAAATGTATTTTACCCTTAAAAATTAATTTTCATGTAAGAATTTTATAATTCTACTTTAATATTTGAGAAATAAATAGTGAAATTATTTAGGACCGGTGGATAACATCCTCGTTCATTATTCTTGTTTTTCATTTCTAAGTTTTTAGAAACATAAGTCCTTTACTTACCATTTTTGTATCTCATTTCTCATTTTTAAAAGAAACGTTTCTAAAATTATGTAGAAGTTTTGGAAACAACAAAATAAATTTGTTAGTTTTTTTTGTGCATGTTTACAATTTCTCCAAAACATAAATAAACGCATTAATTAATCCTTATTAACTTATAAAATGCATAATAAAAATTTAAAAATAAATATATATATATTAGTAATATAATGATATTTATTAATACTGCGAGATCCGGCACTAACAGCTACAACTGAATGAAACGGACACTCTTTCACTCTACCTTTTAGTTTTCCTCAATGTACCGTTCATGAATCCTCAAATCAAACAACTCCAGGGAGATGCAAGTCATTATACAGTCTAACAAGACTACGTTATATTAGAAATATCGATTCAATTTTTTATATCAATAGAAAATCTGTGAACATATGAAAACACTAATAAAAATATCGATGTATAGATGAAAATTTAATACGTCGCCGAGATGATAAAGAAACGTGACTCCTCAATCTAAAAGGATGAAATTCCGTGGCTTAGAGAAATTGCGTAAACTTTTGTTCATTTTCTCTATTTTTCTGTTGCTCTCTTTTTTCCACTGCGGGATCTGCGGCTGTCGTATATTCACAGAAGCCTTTTTTTTTTCTTCTTCTTAAAGGTTATGGGCTTTTAAAAAACTTAAAGCAAGTGGGTGGGCCCCACGTTGAGAATTGACTCTTTTGTCCTTTTGTGAAACACTCTTGTTTCGAAAGGGTTACGAATGCTCTTTTAATTTATGCACTTCTCTTTTGTAATTTTAACTTTTACTTACAGAACGTTTATTTTTGTTTTTGTATTTTCAAATAGTGATGGTTTTTTTTTCTATCTATTTATATTTTATATCATTTGTTTAGATCAATTTTTTTTTTAATTTAGCAAATAGAGATTAAATTGGTTAGTTTAAAAAATATAAGGATCAAATTGAATATTTTGAAAGTACAAAAACTAAAATAAACAAAAATTAAAAGTTATGAATTAAATGAACAAAAGTTACAAATACAAAGGTTAAAATAATATTTAAATTATTCTCCAAAGGATAGCTTGGGTGATTTGAGACTTCAAAGAATATTCTTGAGGTCGTATATACAGGTATGAGGATAGTGCGTGTCAAAAGACTGTCTACGCTAGTGTAATGTCAAAATTGGAGCTGAGCCACAAATCATGAGAGCTAAATTAAAACTTTTAAAATCATAAGGACCAAATTTGTAAATTAACATGTTTAAAAAAAATTGGTAAGTTAACCTACATTAATCATGAGCTAAATTTATATATGATAAATAAATAAATTAATTATAATTAATGAACAAAACTGCATTAATAATTGTTTCTTGTTTATTTTTTATTGATAAAAGAAACAAAAACATCTATGATAATATTTTATTGTTTCTGTTTTCTGAAATTCTAAAGTAAAAAATTAAAATGATCATTAATTTAATTATATATCTGCATTTTATAAGTGAAAACTCATAAAATAATGTTTCGGAAAAAAACTGAGTCAGAGGTCGGGTCCGACGACATACATCTTGATTGGTTTTACCGCCACTAGAGATTGGAAGGGAATAAGGAAAGAAACTTGCACCGTCATAACGTTTTCGTTTCTGATTTCTCGTTTTCAATTATCTAATTATTTATATTTACTTTTATTGTTTGTATTTTTTAATAAAAATTCTCAAAATTGTATAAAAATTTTAAAAACAAGAAAAACAATTTTTTTTTCTTCTGGTTTCATTCCAATTTATACCAAAATATAAACAAAAATACTATTTTATCAATCTTGAATATATGAATGTTGGAATCATGCCATTATACTTTTCTTAAAAAAAGGGAAAAGAGAAACAAGTGTTATAAAAGAAGCCATTCACCTGCTAGTTTCCAAAATTTCTACACAATTTTAGAAATTTTCTTAAAAAATACGAATAGTTAATAAAAACTGATGTTAAAAAAAACAGACAAAAAAAAAGAATCAAGAAACGTTAACGAGATAAAATAGCATTTTAATAAAAGATTTAAAATCATTTATAATATATATATATATATATATATATATATATATATATATATAATTTTTTCGATATAAAAAAAATAATATTTAATATTTTTTTATACTTGTTGATTCTAAAGGTGGAGGGTAGGTAAAAAGGTGCGGCAAAGATACGAAAAAGGAGAAAATTAAATAACCCTAACTGAGCACATAATTAAATACAACAAAATATAGAAACTGAAAAACTCCCACAGGAATATTCCCATGCTCTGCTGCATCATTGCTTACCATGCTCCCTACGACTACGTTGACCAATTCTCCACGTGGCGGTTGCTGATTGGTCGAAGATCTATCTGCGTGTATTTGAACGTTGCATCTCATCCCACCATTGCTCTGTCCCATTCTCCTTCGTCATGCAGCAGCAGCAGCGCCCATCGACTTGAAATCGGAGGACGGAAGAAAGCTGAGCTGATCACCGCCGCCGCCACGAGAAAAATCCCATTTCTCCATTTCTAATGGCGTCGCTCTCCCATGTGCTCTCTCGCTCATCCCGTCTGCTCGCTCCTCATGCACCGCCCATTGACTCCACGCCCAAATCCTTCATATACTCCCACTCGCAATGCCGCGAACCCACTTCGCTGCTGCGTGCTAACGTTTACAGGTACCAATTTGGCGATTCTGGGCTCGTTTTTCTGTTTGGGTGTCGAGGAAATGGGGTTTGTTGGGATGGGAATTGAAATCCCACTGGGTTTTTTTTTTTGTTTTTGTTTGCATCTCTGAGCTGTGGAAGATCTATTGGGGAGTAGTTATGATTGATTCTCTGGTTCTTTTTTTGAGTCTGAGAGTTGGTTCTTTTATGAATTTTCTCTTCATCCTGAAATTTCACCTTAACTTTCTTTCAGCTGCTTGTAGTGGTTCTTGAGGTTATGAGTTTACTGACATGGATGTGGTGACATTTTTCTTTGGTTTTTGACCATTTTGCTACCTCAAACATGCAAAGGAGTTGTGGGGGGTAGATTTTTTTGGTTTAGGACCATTTTGTTCTAATTGATAATGTGGATACTGTTGGAGAGTAGTGGTGTTTTAGAATGGGCTATATAACAGTTGGTTGTGGAAGTTGTAGCTGCTTCTCGGGTGATGTTTGTGATTTTTAGAAGCTTTGTGACCGGAAGTTATCGTCATTGTACTGACAAAATATGTCAGGATAATATAATTTTGTTCGCAATACCTTGCGTCCGTAGTAACTGGACGAGCTGGGGCTTCTTTTTTGTAATGCTTACATAATTTTCTTAATGGTTCCACTTTTAGGATCATTCTGTAACGGTCATCATTATCCAGTCAATTTCAGATTTATCGTCTGCCTCATTTTATCATCTCTCTGTCTCATATGTTTTTGGCGGGTATTAGGGGAAATGGGTTCTGCATGGAGGTCTTTGAACATGATTTTTTCCTTTTTTATTTTATGGGGCGCGTTAGCTTTCATCTGTAAATGGTAAGTGGTAACCATCCTTAGATGGCAACAAACAGATTATGTCTCTATCTTAATGAAAAACTCATCTTATTTTGAAAATTTTGTCATTCAATTGTTGAGTGGTGGTCTAGGGAGATGTCATTTTATCACAAGTATTGATTTTGCTATGGTTATAGAAGCAATATCATTATATTTTTTGATACAAATTTATAACTGGATTGATTAGCATTTCTAACCATTCTTAAGGTCAGAGGTCTGAATTGTAGGGATATAATTGAAAAACTTATGACCTTATAGGGCCCAGGATATGAGTTTGCGTGAGTGATGGGACTAGTTTAGGGCTATAGTGCCACTATTACAAGCCTTGGGGAGTGGGACATAGCAGTAGAATGTTGGGCAAGTTTTATCATTATAATTTAGCCACCATACTGATTCTTTCATGTCGTTAAATTGAAAATACTAATCTAGTGAGAACAATACATTTACTACTTGCAATGCTTTTACTCTTTTTTAAATGCTTTTTGAATACACGGGGATGGTATGTCTTGTGTTGCAGAATGGCCCTTGTCTGTCAGCGGGCAAGAAGAGGAACACAAAGGAAACAAATATGTGCTTCCATTGCAGGTACATAGTCTTCCTTCTATTTCATTAATTGTTAAAATTCATGGTTTTACATTAGGTTGAAGATATATGCGTTTACCTGTTCATTACATGATTTTTCATTTCTTAGCAGATGTCTCATTGGAAAAATCCACTGAAAATGTACAACTTCCCAAGGGTGATGTTTGGTCAGTTCATAAATTTGGTGGTACCTGTGTGGGTAACTCGCAAAGAATTAAGAATGTTGCTGAAATAATAGTTAATGATGATTCAGAGAGGAAATTGGTAGTTGTCTCTGCAATGTCAAAGGTGACCGATATGATGTATGACCTCATTAACAAGGCTCAATCACGGGACGAGTCTTATGTATCTGCCTTAGATGCTGTTTTAGAAAAGCACAAGTCAACGGCACATGATCTGCTTGATGGGGATGAACTGGCTAGTTTCTTATCACAGTTGCATCATGATATCAATAATCTGAAGGCTATGCTTCGAGCAATTTATATTGGTAAGTAGATACATCATCATATTGTGGATTGATCAGTTTTGCATACCTGTAATTGCTTGCTTAAAGACCAAAAGTTGTTAATTACTAAGATTGTATAAAAATCTTAGAATAAATATATAGCTATGTTTTTGTTGGTTTAGGATGAGACTCAAATAGTTGGTTTAAGACGAGACTCAAGTAGACTATTAGATTTACTTCAAAGAAAACAGAACAGATTTGAAACTTGCACGGTTTTGCAAATTATCCTGCATCATTTCTAGTTCCTCGATAGCATATGACGCTATAAGTTATTATAAAGTTTGTTATGAACTTTATGGAATCTGATACGTGTTTTGTAATTTAGTCTGATTTTGATCCCCTCGCTAATTTTGTATGCATTAAGTTTGGCATTTTTCCTTTTCTTTTTTGCTGACTTGTTGGCCTTCCAAGGTAGAAAATACATTGACCTGTTGACTTGCTGTCATGCAGCTGGTCATGCCATGGAATCCTTTACAGATTTCGTTGTAGGACATGGAGAATTGTGGTCTGCTAGTATGCTGTCTGGTGTTATTAGAAAGGTCTGGCACTTGTTTCCTATTCCTTTTTAATGCAGTTAGCCAATCCTTTTCTCGATATGTGGTAACCATCACTTGTTGTGTTTCCTCAGAGTGGGGCAGATTGCAAGTGGATGGATACTAGGGAAGTTTTGATAGTCAAGCCCACTTCTTCAAATCAAGTTGATCCAGATTTTTTGGAATCTGAGAGAAGACTTGAGCAATGGTATTCCAAAAACCCAGCCAAGATAATCATTGCAACTGGTTTTATTGCCAGTACACATGAAAACATACCCACTACTTTAAAGAGAGATGGAAGTGACTTTTCTGCTGCGATAATGGGTGCTCTACTAACAGCTCGACAAGTCACAATTTGGACTGATGTTGATGGTGTTTATAGTGCAGATCCAAGAAAAGGTACATGTCTTACTTTTGTACTTAACTCATAACTATGTGAACTACATTTTATTTGAAATCTCTATATTTGTATTTTAGAAAATCTGGATGCTATATATTAGAACTTTAGTGGTTATATCCATCCAAGTTCTGTTTCTTCTTTTATGTGGAGTTAACTGTTTATTTTAAGTTTAATATCATCAGAGCAGTTTCTTAAGAAAATTTAAAAATTAAAGTTTTCCTCTTTTCTTTGTAATCTCGAAATAACATGGTCCTATTATAAGGTTTATTTCTTGTGCAGTTAAAGAGGCAGTTGTTTTGAAGACATTGTCTTATCAAGAGGCCTGGGAGATGGTAAATCAGATCATCATTTTTTTTAAAATAAAAATAAAATTCTGCTTCTTGGTTCCCTAATATATATTATATTGACATGCAGTCATATTTTGGTGCAAATGTTTTACATCCTCGTACAATTATTCCAGTTATGCGATATGACATACCCATTGTAATAAGGAACATTTTCAATCTATCTGCACCTGGAACAAAGATCTGCCGTCAACCAGTTGATATTGAAAGCGAGAGTCTAGTGTCTTTTGTTAAAGGATTTGCAACAATAGACAACGTGGCCCTTGTAAATGTTGAAGGGTGAGTTTTTAGTTGCTTGTTAGTTACCCATCTCTGTCTTAATTTATAAATATGTGTTCTGCTTTTTTTTTTTCCCTCATTTAAAGCTTAATCTCATTTCCATGCCCCCTTCCCCAATTTCTCTCCAGCACTGGTATGGCTGGTGTCCCAGGTACAGCTAATGCCATTTTTGGTGCTGTAAAAGATGTAGGAGCTAATGTAATTATGATTTCTCAGGTGATTTGATACTTCTATTACCTCTTCTTTTACACCTTTAGTTAGTCAAGACTTTATCGTATGATACTGATAGAAGGTTAATGCAGGCTAGTAGTGAACATTCAGTGTGTTTTGCTGTGCCTGAGAAGGAAGTAAAAGCTGTTGCTGAGGCATTGAGATCTAGATTTCGTCAAGCGTTAGATGCTGGGCGCCTTTCTCAGGTATTTTTCTTTGGCTGGATTTATTGTTTTGACCAAGTCAATTTTTCTTTCCTTATAAATGTTTCTTTTACACTATGAACGTTTTAGTCTTTAGTGGATAGTTGTAGTCTGGATTTGGATTTTTGGTTTTCTTTGATCAATGAAGAGGATCACTCTGATGCATTAGATGAATGGAAAAACTCTTAGCCATGTTTACTTAAAGGGAATGAGAATCAAGTTTTTTATTCCCTTTGATGGTGTTTACCAAATTGTTGGAATGAGAATCAAATGGTGGGACCCACCTACTTTTTTTCATTTCCATTCCCTAAAAAGGGGCAATCCCATTCCTCCCCTACACCCTCATGAATCCCAATCCCAATCCCAATCTCATTCCTTATTCTGTGGGTCCCACACATTTATTGCAATCACTTCTCTACTTTTACCCTTTGTCTCTCGTGGTTAATGAGACCTATAACTTTTTATTTAATTGTTTTATACTTTTTTATTTCTTTTTCATTTATACTACTAATAATTTTTCTTTTAGTAAAAAATACACTTTTATTAGTTGATGTGATATTATTATAAAATATTTAATATTTAATTTTTTAATTTAATTTTGTTATTATTAATTAATATCACATTTTTTAAAATATAATTCATTATTATTAATTATTATAATAATAAAATTTAATAACATTATTATTAAATATTATTATAATAAAATCTAATAATATTTTATATTAAGTGATGATGGTTCTAATAAAATAGTATTTTAGTGGATGTAATTTTATTTTAATTATTAATTATTTATTTTATTACTATATTATTGATCGTAAATATTTTTTTTACCACCACAATGTATTTGTGATTAGCTAGAAAGAAGACTACTAGTAATTGTCATATATCTGATTCCGATTCCGATTGTGATTCCAGACAGTTTTAGTAAACAACATCAAAAGAGTTTTGATTCTGATTCTAGAAGATTTTTGGTAAATAGTATTAAAGGAATAACATTCCCATTCCGATTGATTTGATTCTGATTGATTTTCATTCCGAATCTCCGATTCATTTCCATTTCGATTCCTGGTAGGTAAACAGGGCCTTATATATATGGGGTGGCCTTGGTTGGCAAGACCTTGAGATCTCTTGGTCATACTGGATTCGAGGTCTCAAGTTCGAACTTTTAGGTGAGCTTAATACAAAAAATCCTTCATGTCTCTCGGGTCTGGATCTTGGGGTTGGCATGGGTGCCTCGGATATAGGAAAGTGAAGCCCGACTCCCGGTTATAAAAAAAATATAAATATAAAAAAGATATATATATATATATATATATATATATATATATATAGATTCAGTTATCCTTATTTTTCCTTTTGATGAGAACTATGGATTTTGTTAAAGAAGATAAGAGTGCATGAGTGATTGGATAAAAGGTCCAAGCGAAAGAACCTCGAGTGTAATTCTTCACCTGCTCATTACTGTCAAGTATTCCTAATTTAAACCAAAGAAAGATGTGTGCATTGTTGAAAATGAAATTTGATCAAGAAACTGCGTATTCATTGAGAAAAATTAAAGGAAAAAATGTGCAAGTTAAAGCCTACCCTAAAGAATAAGAGCAAAAAGGCAACAAAAAACAAGCCAACGTACAAAATTGCCCGTCCAAAAAGGAGCAAACAGGACTAACTTAACAAAAACAAGAAAGGGCTTCAATTCAAAAGAATAAGGCGTAACGAATAATTACAAAATTCTTTGAAACAGTCAAAGTGAGATGCTAAACCTAGCAAGGGACAGAACCCCTCCTCCCAAGACTTCTCCACTCTCCTAAAGATTCTATTATTCCTCTTAAGGCAAATACACCATAAAACCGTGAAGAAACCAGCTCTCCAAATAACACTAGCCTTCACCCTAAAGGGAGAATTTAAATGAAGTTAGCTTTTAGGCCAAGCAGAATGCTTTTGGAGGGGGGTTCTTAAAGTCCCTTTGGCTTGGGTTGAGACTCTTCTCCTAAACCTTCATTTTTGGTATTTTGTTTCTATGCACCTGCTTTAGGTTTTCATCAGAATATAATCTGTCCTCAGGTCGCAGTTGTTCCAAACTGTAGCATTTTGGCAGCAGTTGGACAGAAAATGGCTAGTACTCCTGGAGTTAGTGCCACCCTTTTCAATGCGCTGGCAAAGGTCAGAAATTACTTGTTCACTTTTCTAATTTACAATTGCATCGGAACTTTATAGCCTTTGATCCATGATTTTGTGATTTTTTTATCTCATAGAATAATTATGGCAAGTCATGATGCAGGCTAGCATAAATATTCGTGCTATTGCTCAAGGCTGCACTGAATACAACATTACTGTAGTTCTTAGGCGAGAAGATTGTATAAAAGCCTTGAGAGCTGTGCACTCAAGATTTTATCTTTCAAGAACAACAATTGCAATGGGAATCATTGGACCTGGACTTATTGGTGCCACACTACTTGAGCAGCTTAAGGATCAGGTAATCTTAATGAGTGAAATCTTCTGGTGATATGGTTTTATTTCCATTTGGATAATGTAGTTTTGAAGATATATAGCATAGCTACTAACAGCAATGAGTTTTTTTGTCGGGACAAAAAGACGAGTAATTGAGAGAAAAAAAAAAGCTCATGACCTCAATGGGTTGCTTCAATAGCTAAAGAGATTAGTTACAGATGTAGATGCCTTTAAAGTTATAAGTTAGAATTTTGGTGGCTAATTACATAGGAAAATTGATGTCCTATATGTTTATCCGAGTGCTTTTCTGAGTTTTCTCTGATGATGAAAATAGTTGAGTGTGAATAAATTAAAATTAGCCTAAAAAAAAAGGACCCACAATAAAATAAAAAATATGTAGCCTGGTTTATTGGTCTTTTATTTGTAATGTCATCTTCTTAGATTCCTTTGTTCAGTTTTAGCGGGTGAAACTTTTTTTTCTCGATGTCCACAGGTTTTTATGTTTTATTTATTTTTTAATTCTTTGATATTTCTGGTCTTGATGAGAACTATCATGAGCTTGTACACCATGTCTTGGACTCTTGAGCATTTCTTAATGTGTGTCTCTCTGTGTCTTCAATGTGCCTGAAACTTGTAATATTATTAAAAGTTGGATACTCAAACCATATGTCAAGATACGCAAATGTAAGGCCCTAAGTTTTCTCTAAATCAAAAGTATAGTGTTTATGATTATTATATACCTATAAATATCGCCAGCTTCATTTGCAACATGGGATACTGAAGTACTGTGAAAAATTAACACATTCCTATATTGACTTCAATTGGTCAAAGTGCCACTTCCAATACTACAGTTTGGAAGAAGTTTATTTATACCTCATTGTTTTGATTCTGAATTGTTATTTGTCAGGCGTCAGTTCTCAAAGAAGACTTTAACATTGACTTGCGTGTCATGGGAATTATTAGCTCAAGAAGCATGCTCTTGTGCGATGAGTAAGTTTAACACTAAATTTGGATTCCTTTCCTTCATATGGATGTACTTCCATTTACAATGTTGGTTAAAGACCAAGGCTTATTTAGACAAGTATTGGTCTTAATTTCCTTAGTTGATGGGCAAAGTTATGTTTGGAGGCTCTGGTCAAAATAAATTACATGTTAATACGTCCTAAAAATCATGTGTCCATTTCTTATTATAATACATAAACCCTGTTTTAAAAGTTGGGTCTCAATGTGTAAGCTGAGGGTATGCCTTTTATTATTATTATTATTATTATTATTATTATTAGTATTATTACTATTTTCATTTTTGGCAATGGGCTAGCATGGGACCTTCTCCTGGAGTCTTGATATTTTGAAGTTTAGCATAAAAACTTCTTTGCATAGGTTATCATCAATTTCTTGTGTTAATTTGTTGTTATTTCCATTTACATCTTTACTGTTTTTAAATTTAAAAAGCGTACAATACAAAAACATTACCCCTTTGCCAATTCATTGACATGCATTGAAGTGTTTCAATCAAATGGACTAATTTAAGCATCGTCTGATGACCTTTTTGTCTTTTGTTTTTTTCTTTCTGTAGTTTTTTTTTTAAGAAAAAAAAAGTTATACGTGTCTGATGGCCCATTCTTTTGTTTTTGTTTTTCTTTTAAAAAATAGAAAACAAACATATTAGATTCTTTTTGGTTTTCTATTTTTTAAAAGTTAGAGAGACAATGAGAAAAGTTAGACCTACAAAGAGATATGTTAGAGAGAAAAAAAATATGTAGAGGGAGAGACAGAAAAGTCTTAGAGAAATAGAGAGAAATTTTGGATAGAGCAAAGTTAGACCTCTGTATTTTGGTCTTCTCTTCCCTACATTTTATCTTCTATTCATCAACTTTCTCATTTGTTCTTGGCCTTCTCATGTTTGGTATGCTCTCTTGGAATCCTTTTGTAATTGAATTTTTCTTTCAATTTATGGCAATTGGGGTAGCTTATTATAATTTTTTTGGTGGTTGGATGGCAATTCCACTTCTCTTGTACTTCATATAAATCAATGAAAAGTTGTCTAACATGAGTATAGTTTCTACTCCTTTTCTTGAGGTTGGAGGTTCAAATCCCATCGCCCCACATTTGTTGTACTATATATATATATATATATATATATATCAATTGAAAGGTTTTTCTTTATCTCCCAAAAAAGATTTTAAAAAATAAGTTTGGCACTGGCACTGTTCAGTTTACAGTTCTGCCGTTTTACTCAATGCAATTATTTGTGATATATTATTTGTAGGGGACTTGACTTGTCTAGTTGGAGAGATCTTCAAAGGGAGAGAGGTGAAGTGGCGGACATGGAAAAGTTTGTGCAGCATGTGCATCAAAATCATTTTATTCCAAATACTGTTTTGGTGGATTGCACGGCCAATCCTGATGTTGCTAGCTACTACTACAACTGGCTTCGAAAAGGAATTCATGTCATTACTCCAAATAAGAGGGCTAACTCAGGACCACTCGATCAGGTATCTCCTATAGGGAAATTAATTCACTCTTACCTTAACCTTTTTTTTACAGACAAAAATCTAATGTATTTGGACAGCTATAGAATGTGAAAAAATTTCAAGTTCCTGATTGTTTTACGGATGACGGTAAAGGTCCTTCCTGTTTGAAGAATGTGAAAGATAACCTATTAATTCACTAGGTTTACTTTCAGACCTTGAGGTGGATAGATCGGGGTATTGAGAGACGTGTTTGGAAGAAAAACAAAATTTCTGTTGATTGTTTGTAGGATTTGAATAAATTGGCGAACCTTACATGGAGACATCAGTTTAGTACTGGCTTTGTTTTACTAAAAAATTGAAGAAAAGAGAATGTGATGAGATCATCAAAACCATGTCTTTTATGTTACATTGCAAATCACTGTCTAGAATGGGCTTACTAATTCTTTTGTAACATCTTTGCTATCCAATCCAGTATTTGAAATTGAGAGCTCTTCAACGACAGTCCTATACTCATTACTTTTATGAAGCTACTGTTGGAGCTGGTCTACCAATTATTAGCACCCTACGTGGTTTGCTTGAAACCGGAGACAAAATATTGCGTATTGAAGGCATTTTCAGGTTCTGATATATTCATTACTTGTCTTCTCGCTTTGAATGAAGTTTTACTTTATATTTCCTTCACCTTAAATAGTTTCCTTCCCCCATAAAGTTAGGGTGTAAGCTTATTTAATCTCACCCCCTTGGCACTGTACATTCAATATGTTCATATATACTCTGCACTTTTAAAAAATCTATGCATATAACCATCATGGGTGTCTAATTGGTCCAGGAGAGCTAGGGTAAATTGAGAGGGAATGAGTTCAAACTTTATGATGGCCACCTACCTTAGGGATTAATTCCTATATGTTTTCAGGCAACAAATGTTGTAGGGTTAGGCAGCTGCCCCATGAAATTAGTCGAGGTGCGCATAAGCTGGCCCGAACACTCACGGATATATAAAAAAAATTCTATGCGTATAGCAACATTTGTACATAATGTGTGTTAAAACGTCCCAGCCACTCTTCTCCCCATTATCCTAAAACATCCAACCAGTAAACTTCCTAGTCCTATCTCCCTGGGGAGTTGAGAGCTTTTAGAGGTGGAGGTGTAGCAATAGTGGATTGAAGATTTATTTCCAAGGGTATTTTATTTTTTAAAAAAACTGTGCGCACGCACCAAAAACTTTTATTGCACCTACTAATCTTTGGAGTAAGCTAGAAGTACTTGCAACCCTGGATTTCTTGGATAACTCTCCTACTTGATGGCACTTCATCTCATGGAAAACCAGGCCTCATCTTTACCAGCAGATGGATTTCTATCTAATGAAACATGAGCTTTAAATTAATGGGAAGAAATATCTTGAAAAAAGTGGGACCGAGTAGAATATTAATACTAGTGACCTTTCTTCGGGGGTGAAGCTTTGACGGGAAAAAGCATATGTGTGTGCCTTTTAAAGACCCTTATCTGCGGAGGGGTAATCTTCCTGAAACAAGATCCCACCAGACTTAATTACTAGAAGGGTCGGAGTGAAGAAGTAAAAAGGTGGTTATTTTTTTATTTTGTTACGTGGGCCCATTTTAACTGCTCACCTAATAAATTATGCACATAAGGTAAATTATGGTCGTAAGTAGTTGAGGTGCGTGCAAGTTGGGCCCAAATACTCATGGATTTATTAAAAGAGAAAAAAAAAGCATCATTCTAAAGTTATAAGATTAGGATTCACATTCTAATCCTATTTCTAGAGCAATAAGTAGATGAAGCAATACAAAAAGTGGTTTGTCCAATATGCTTCACATCTACTTTATGCTGCTGCTGTAAATGTCTCTATGATAAAAAGAAATAGCAAGAGCACGAAAATGCCACAAATTTACTTTATTTCTCTCTCATGGTCACTTTCCCTCGACATTAAAGGCAACTAAAATATACCTGTTAAGAAGTATAAAACGTCCTCTTAATAAACCCTTGCATGTTGAACTTTGTCTAGAAGGTGCTGGCACCTATCTTCAACCCTCAGGAGCAGGGTGATAATAAGGCTCCTTTCATGCAAAAAGTAATGTTGTTTTCCTTACGAAATTTTAACATTCTTTGCTTTTATGTGATTTCCTGCTGCAGTGGGACGTTGAGTTACATCTTCAACAACTTTACGGGCAGTAAATCTTTTAGTGACATAGTCTCTGAAGCAAAGCAAGCAGGTTATACTGAGCCAGATCCAAGGGATGATTTATCTGGAACAGATGTTGCCAGAAAGGTAAAAAAAAATTCTGATAGTCTGTGAGAGATCCAAAACCATGAATATTTTAACCCGAATGGTGGTTTTTGAGTCTTAAAACGATGATCGATTCATCCATGAAATATAGAAATCCTTCATGCTTTATGTTGCCTTTATTGTTTTCAGGTGATCATTCTTGCTAGAGAATCTGGTTTGAAGCTAGAACTAGCAGATATCCCAGTGGAAAACCTTGTGCCAGAACCATTAAGAGTATAACTTCTTTTGTTTTAAGTTTTAACCATATAATTCTATATTTAATGCTTTAAGTTTGTACTTCATAGTTGATTTGGAGCTCTATTATCCTATAGGCCAGTGACTCTGCTGAGGAGTTTATGCAACAATTGCCACAATATGATGCCGATCTGACAAGGAAACGACAGGATGCCGAGAATGCTGGGGAAGTGAGTATCTAAAAAATAGTTCTGCTAGTTAACTTACTTTTAAGGAACTTGCTACATAATGTGAAGTATCTAAAACTCTTGATTAGTATGTTAGCCATGAAAACTTTTAGTGCTATAATCTGTTTTATTGTCATACTGATACTTATATTTTCATGTTATTTGGTTCAACATTCCACTGATAAAAACAATTTTAGTCCTTTGCCATTAATTTATTTGATGAATTATTTAATAAGCACTTTTTTTTTTTGTTCATTGACCTGTTCAATAGATGTCTACGTAAACAAGAATTTGAAGTTATATGTACTAAGCTATCAAACAAATTTAGGTTCTTGTTAAATTTTTATTAAAAAACTAACGGTAATGACTGAAATAGTTTATTTTATGCCAAATTTGGGGACAAAATGGTAGGAATCCTAATAGGGCCGTTAGGAATATTCATTATTAGAGTATTAAGGGTATATTCATCATTAGCCAAAGATTTGATTATAAATCGGAGCCCAGGAGACGAAGACAGTCAATTGTTTAGTGGGTTTAGGCTTCAGGTAGACTCTAAACGCCTCAAATTACTTGGAAATTATTTGTATTGTTTTATCTTTTATATTTCAATACTACATCGATTATGTAGTTTCTATCATAAAATAGAACATTTGAAAAAAAATATAAACTTGTAGTTGGAGGTTTATCTTGTGTTTATGTGATTTATGGAGCTTTTGACCCTTTTCTGAAGGTGTTGAGATATGTCGGGGTGGTGGATGTCGAAAATAAAAGAGGCTTCGTCGAGATGCAAAGGTACAAGGAGGATCACCCGTTTGCACAACTTTCAGGATCCGACAACATCATCGCTTTTACAACAACGAGGTACCGAAAACAGCCTTTGATCGTCCGGGGACCGGGTGCCNAAAAAAAAAAATAGCGAAATGTAAAAATAGCGTGGTAGTAATTTGTATTTTGGTTAGAAAATTTGTAAGTGTAGCTACAATTGTGTTTTTCCATCTCTATCTCTTTTTCTTTTTGGTCTCAAATTTATTATGATAGAAAATTGAATGAAACAAATTTATATGATCGATAATATTTTGTCAATTTATTAAAGACTGAATTAAGAAAAATTTACGACGTGAAAATAGGTCAAGCATCTATTTTCAACCAAATAATTCTGGAATCCCTAAAACCAAAAAAATTGTGAAATCCCTAAATGTTATCGATTTTATTAGGGATTCAGGTGAAAATTTGAAAATTTTAAAGAAATTTATCAAACTAATTTAATTAATTGCTACTCAAGAATTTACTTCCTCTCCCTGTCAAGGAAATATTAATTTTGTTTCCTTTTTTTTTAAAGAAATTGCATGTATTTTTTTAAGAATATAAGCAAAGATTTGAAATGATATTTAATTATAACATTCAATGTACTTATAATAATAGAAAAAATTGTGATCTCTTCTCATGAATTATCATTACTCCTATGATGAGAAAGAAGAAAACTCTCCAATCATATGAACTAAAATTTTCAAATGAAAACAATTTAGTTGATTTTGAATAGTTATTATTATTTTTATTTCAAAATTGAAGAAAATTAAGTAATAATATATTTTTTAAAAGGGATAATTTTACCAATGGGGATGCATGATTTGGAGGTTTGCTCTTTGAAGCTTTGTTGAATAAAAGTTTCTGCCATTTGTGAAATAATGTTGAAGGCATAGGGAAAGATTCTCAAGTTGTCAAACTTAACTTTTTTTCCTGTTGGTTTGCTTTTGTCATTGTTGGTATCTTATCATTAAAAAAAAAAAAAAGTAGTGTTGCAAAAAACTTGACAAAATATGTTGACATAATATTAATAATAAAGTTATTTAAATACATAATAAATTTTTTTAGTTTATTTAAATGTAGTGGAATGTTTATTTGATAATTTAAATATTTATGATTTATTTTTTATAATTTTTCCAAAAATACCTATCAACATTGACATTTTTCAACATTTCAATTCTATTGACATCTTTATAAAATTGAGATCTTGATATTTGAAACATAGATGAGTATGAACATAAATTAAACAAGGATTTTATCCTAACAAAAGTATATTCATTCACTCCAAATCTTCGTAAGCAAAACATGGAAAAGAAACAATAATAGGCATTTTTTTAGTACAACGAGTGGTTTGTGGCCGATAACGCTTTAGTTGATGGCATTCCTCTATGCGGCTGGCATTCAAGGAACCATGGGACACAAACGTGGGACACGCAGGCTCGCCACACACATGCCTATATACCTACGAAGTTTCATTTATTCTCATATAGTAGTGCTAATTGAAGAAGACAGGTAACTTGTTATCCAAACCCCGAACCAGAACTTTTAAAAGAAAGATGAGTGCACTTTGCACGTTTCATTGTTGATGATTGTGAATTCCATTTTTTACATAAACTTTTCCAGCTTCTACTTGAATGCGTTCTCCAAAAACAAAGTTTATTGGGTGAAAGTGAAGTCATCCTCATGCATGTAAATTAAACAACATACCCGCATAGGCAAAAATTCATAGAATACTTGAGATTAAGATCAAACGAGTATATGATTATCCTTAGTGATGGTTTGTATTTTCTTTAACGGTCAAGTATATGACACATTGTGGCCTAGTCTTATGCAGTACCATTATATACGATACCTCCATTTACATGTCACCACATGAATGATCTAGATAAGGACCATTTATAACAATTACAAAGTGGATCGTATCAACATGTTATGTCACCGACTCCAACTCCCAAAAAAAAAAACATGCTATGTCACCAACTCCAACTCTGTCCATATTGTACTGTATTAAACTGATCCTTTCGTATTTATCCATTACATACCTAGTTTAAGAACAAATAGGTGGCCAAGAAATGATAAAGTTTTGAATGTCAATTTTTATGACAAAGTACACATTGGTGCATATTAAGTTCATTTTTACGTCACGAACGAACTTAGGGCATACACCAATCATGCTTTGAATTTGATCGGCCAACAAATCCTATGCTACAACCACCGCGATTTCTCCCTCCATTTTGATTCGATGGCCGATACTTGAGTAACCATCGTAGTAAGTTGAAATAGGTGTTCAATTCCCACCTTTACACGTTGTATATTTTGAAAGAAAAATCTTATGTATTTTCTTGGAAAAAAAAAAAAAGAGTTCAATCCCCTAAGACTTAGCACCTATTGCAACCGAGGTAAACTAGTACAAAGTTGACAGATTTCAAAGAATAACAATGATAGCTGTTCCTTAAAAAAAATGATAGAGTTAGACTTTCATTTCTTTTTTTTTTAATTGGCTGAGTTTTGACAAAGTTATTCATCGGTCGATTTTGTGCATAAAATAGGTGTTTTTTTTTTATGTTTGCCTATTTTTGGTTAAATTTAATTAGCATAAATTAAATTGGAAGTAAAAATTGCAATAGTAAAATTTGATTTAATAAAATTGAAAGTTTAAAAAGGTAAGAATCTATCTAGAAAAATTGGAAAGTTTAAGGTAAAAGCTAATACACTCCTGATAAAAATGGGGAACTTTGGCATTTTTGTAACTATAAGTTTTGGTTTCATAAATCTACATCTTTTTTTTTTAACTAGTATTGTAATAGGTGTTGTGCACGTTGTATCTCAATTTTATTTTCTCATATATTAATGTTAATTTTACTTCGAAAAGGGTTGAGCATCTATCAAATATTATAGTATAAACAAAATACTATAATATTTGATAGATATTTTAAAATATAAGTATAATTTAAAATTCAATAATATAATTCAAACTTCTAAACGTTCAACGACTAAATATTAAAATAAGATTACTGAAAAAATTATTTTTAAAAATATATAAATCGTTGCAAACTTGAAATCTCAATGGCGGTTTATTTTGAGAATATATCGTGGAGAGGAAAGCCATAGGTCAAGAAAGCTCTCATCCAATTAATAGCTAACTTGGTTTTCTAAGACATTGGTTATTGCTCTTCCCTCTAGAATTAAACTTAAAACTTCAAAAAAGTAAAATATTTCCAATAACTGGAGCCATACCCAAATATACCTAGCCCCAATTTCATATCCAAATGCTTTATTTTCTCACGAACTAACAACACAACTCTACGTTATATTTGTTGTATTTTGCTCTGCCAAAAGAAAGAAAAAAATTGGTCAGATACCTGGTTTCTTACTAAATAAAGATACATTAAGATGAATTTTGTACCTTTACTTCATGTACTATTCAAAACATATAATGATATAACAATTGACAACGTAGAATAAACAAAAAATTTGAAGAATATTATTTGGCTCTAAGCATTGCTTTAGAACCATGTATATATAGTGATAATTTTAGTTCAAAATAAGAAAATGAAAAGTCATGTACGTTCTCCCACCTCTCCGAATTCTATTTTTTCTCTCTCCTCTACCTCAAAACTCTCTTCCCCATCATCAAAATTTCATCTCTCATTAATTTTCTTCTCATTATCTTCCTCTCTCCTCCCTCTTTACCCATATAAATTCCTCCTTCTTTTAAGTCTCTATTAATGCTGTCTCCCCACGACCTTCCATATTCTCTTTAATTGGATTCAAAACCTTCTAATTATCTCTCTTATTTATTTTATGTGATGTGTCTGTCTTGATCGATTACTCAAATAAAATATTTTTTTAATAAATATATAATAAATTTAAAAATAGGATAAGTTAGTTTTATGCTTTAATATTAAAATAGAAGATAGTTTTATGCTCAATTTTAAAATAGGATAAGACAATTTTCTTTTAACCTATTTAAATTGTTAGAATATGTATTAGCATTGTTGTTACATTAGGACGGTGTGAGATTTGTTTAAATCAATTATATTTATGACCAAATTAATTGAGAGATAGTTTGAAGTAGTTTTGTAACATTGATATTTTTTAATGTTAATATATGGAGTAATTTTTTTATTTTATTATATTATTAACTATTTGTCAAGGGTTAAGAATTTTTAAAGCGTAACTTTTTATTAATCCAAAAAATTGAAAGAGATAATTAGAAGAGTTTTTAGTAATTTGAAGGATTTTGTAACATTAGGAATTTTTAGTGCTAATATTAATAAACTTGTTGGAGGTCAAAAAAAATCAAACTCAACAGTGTAGGCATGAACTCGGTTCGGAGCAACCATATTTTAAAACGGATCTACCCACTAGTGATCCAGACCGAGCTGAGATGGAAGGAACATACTTACCGACCTAAAGGATCCGACCTCATGTCCGACCACCGACCTGGGGGCCCAACAGCCGTAACCGCTGGTCGTAACAACCTCAACGACTTTGTCTCCTTGCCTGCTTATAAAAGGGACATTCCACACCTGTCATCAGGTACACTATTTCCTCTGAGAACGACCTGCCACAATGAGAGCATTGGGAGAGACTAAAAAAGGAAGAATTTAGATGGATAGAGAGAGGTGAGGGATAGAGTTAATGAAAAATAATATTAAGGAGGAGAGATGAAATTTTGATGGGGTGAGGATAGAGGGGAGGGAGGGTTTCACGAGAGAGAAAATTTTGAGTGGTGGGACAACATAAATGAAACTAAAGATAAATTGAGTATTATCTAAATAATCACCGTTAAAATCGTCCAATAAATGTTTCTTCCACGTCCGTACATTTTAATATATTATACATTATAGATATAGATTATAGATCTATATATAGATTATAAATATAGATGTGTGTTTCTTTTTACCATTTTATGATAAAATGTTGACTCATAAATTACTTTTTACCTATTCATTTTTTTCTTTAACCTTTCTCTAATAAAAACTTCACAACCTCTTAGATGAAATTTTTGCCTAAACGAGAAGAGGTTGTGAAAGACATGATGTTAGAGAAGAGGTTGTGAAGATTTCTAAGAGGGAAAAATCTCATATAAACGAGAGAAAAAAAAAGATGGCCCAAAAAAAAGTAATATATTTTTTTTTATTTCACAACAAAGAAAGCATAAACAAAATAACAAACTTAGAAAACTCAAACCAACCGTCAGAAGAAAGTAATGCAGAGATGGCCTGCAGCCCTTCTTGAAGCCAAATATGATCTAGTTGTTTGAGAAGACAATTCGAGAAGACTTTTTTGTTGGAGCAAAACATAACATATCGACATTCAATTATATCATTGGTACGTATTCGACATTCATTTCTGTTAGTTAACACAAAGCTACAAATACAAAGTTTGAATGTTAGTTTTGAATTGGTTTGGTCAAAGACCTAGTTTTTAGGAAGTTGTTGATATTCCTTTTTTAGTTGT